TCTAGTTGGTAAGTTTATTACCTTTCAAAATGTGCTTGGCACCTGCCTTAAATAGCACAGATCTATTGTGCACATCTTTAAATTATTTCAGCTGGCAGAAAAGAATTACATTTAAAACCAAAAGCAAGGCCTCACTACAAAGATTATCCTGGCTCTTTCCTATCTCTGTGGGCCTAATTGAAATACGTACTCTTATTTTAGACACTCCTCTCTTAAAACAGACCAGGTTTTCCTGGTCTCGGAAGAGACCTATGATGACTTGTCCCTTTGATGCCATTACTGTGCATTGAATATAATTAGTAAAAATAGACAATGAATAAATAACACTTTATAGTAAGTAAACAATATATTTTGGCCATCTAAAAAGTGAGGATTATAATTATATGAATTATAATTTAAACTTTAATTTTGTTGAATGTGTATATTGAATCTTCTAAATTGAAGCCATTATTCTCAATTAAGTACTACAACTATGACAATGCTTGACCTACATTTTAAAAATAATTTCTTTTTTTGATAAATAAACCACAATTTTACCAGAAATTACTGTCTAAATGTGTATTAGCAGTATTTTTTAAGGTGAAATTGCCATGGTATCTAATGAATGTGTAGACAGAGAAAATGAAGGAGTGCCAGACTCGTTAGAATAGAAGTTAGGATTAGGTTAGTTCTGAAAAACGATGTTGTAATATATGGGTTCTAACACATCCTACCATGAAAACTGGAGGAGATATGTATAACCTGGTTAATTTGGGATGGTGGACATTTTGGGCTAATACTGACAAAATACATCTTAGGACTACTATACATGTGACACGGATTGCTAGGAGGAACGAAAAACTAAACTGTATAGTTTATATTCCGTAAACCATTTTATAATGTTCAAAGATTAGGTTTCGTTATTGGTAGTATTAAATACACAGTTTCTCTTAACAGTGATGGGTCAAAACATTTTACTGGATAATGGAATGTTTACCAGAACATGTTTTGATTCTTGGATGTACATAATAATGCCATCTAACTTATTTACTTTCTTGTTTACATGTGGGAGCTTTTGTTTTTAAAAATTATTTTGTTAAAAAATCTCAATAAAGATTTATTATTGTTGTCCTTTTCTTACCTTTTTTGCTCTTTTTGGTTGCTGCTAAAATTAAAAATTTTATTCTTATTTAGTAATTTTTCAAAAGAATGATCTTTATTATTTTCCCAGAAGAACAATTAGATAAACTCTGCTACTTAAATTTAAAAAAAACAAAACAAAACAAAACTATCTTTTTAAGAAATAATTGTACACGAGACTAATCTTTGTGAATGTAATAAGCCTAAGATTTGGTGGTTTCACATTAATAATTTTTTCTCAATATTCCCAGGGACTGAACATTTTTAAGTTTTATTTTTGAACATGTAAGTCCTAGTGACTTATTTCGTTTCAGTCAAACATGGACACCACAAAAGAATTTGCACATAAAAGACAGAGAGCTCGTCTGATTTGGCTACGTTTATAAAGTGTTGTGGTGGTAGTTTTCACAATCACTGTCACTATAAATTTGTAATGTTACCCTATCCTTTGCTAAAAAGAAAACAGTTACTTTTGAGCCCTTAAGGAATAAGAAATAAGGGCTTGGTTCTTATAGATTGAGCTTAATAAAAATACTGTTTTTTTTTTTTTTTTTTTTAAACCTGCTTTTTCTAACTTTTCTTTAGGCACACAAAAAAATTTAACAATTGTAATCAAACAAGAGGTTGCCATAGAAAGAATAGAAGAATATCTCTGTTACTGAAAAGGGTACAGCCCAAAGCCACATTTTGTTACCAAATGAAAAAGTTATTTATGGGGGAAATTTCAGAGTACCAGAGAAGTAGAATGTGATATGAAAATGTCAATACTAATGATAACACCTGTTAGAAAACATAAAATGATCATCTGTCAGATGATTATGTTGCACACACTGTACTGTGTGCTCTGAGGGGAGTATCTGGTTATTGCAAGAGCTAATGAAAAGGGGCTCAAGATTGTGACCCTATAGAACAGATAGAGGAAGCTGTCAGCCTATAGGCTTTACGTTGTTTGACTTGCACAGGGATGTATATTTTACTATTTGCATTTGAATGTCTTTAGAAAAAACCTGGTACTCTCTTTTTGGCCAAAATGCATTTCCTACCATCCTAGTTGCCATACTTCTCACCTGATCTCTGTGGGCCTAATTGAAATAGGTACTCTTATTTTAGACACTCCTCTGTTAAAACAGGAGTTTTAACATGTTAAAACAGACCAGGTTTTCCTGGTCTCAAAAGAGACCTGTGATGACTTGTCCCTTTGATGCCATTACTGTGCATGAAAAGGTGTTGGCAACTTCAGAAACAGATCAACCTTCCAATTTCCTCTCTGTAGAAGGTGAGGATTCAAAACCATTCTAAGCTTAGTTGTTTTAGTAGTCAGCTGGATTGGTGTTGCCTTAGAGGAAGCCTGAAGATTGTGAAGCCAGATTTCAGGTTCCCTATTGTTGGAACACCACATTCCCCCAACGATTTGAAAATACACACATCCCCCAACCATCCCCAAACACTGAAAATATTTCTTTGACTGGACAAATCCTTTCCACCTTTAGAGATGGAAAGGTAAATTGTATGAATGAGTTTATCAGCTACCTTTACTAGGTAAAGTTGAATGTACCAAACTAGTAGAAATGACAAACATCTTTCTTCCATTTTAATGGACAACTCTACTGAATTCCTGAAGACTTAAAGAGCTCACAAATATATAAGAGGGAAAGACTATGGCTAAAGTCAGCCTTTGTCATTTATTCCCCAAAGTATGAACATACCAGTCTACACAGGGAATTATATGTCATTTGTTTAATTGAGGTTTAGCATTCTAAATGGCATTAACCATTTTCTGTTCTGAAGATTAATCAAAATATATTAAAGTATTATTTTAATGTAGTTAGAAAGTAGTCTCAATACAAATGAGTTTTGTATAATACAAAACAATACAAATGAGTTACTGGTACTTACTGGTTGGGAAGGCCTCAGGAAACTTACAATCATGGTGGAAGGTACCTCTTTGCAGAGCGGCAGGAGAGCGAATGAGAGCCCACCTAAGGGGAAAACCCCTTATAAGACCATCAGATCTCATGAGAACTAACTATTGTAAGAACAGGATGCGGGAAATCGTCCCCCTAATCTTCACTTGGTCCCTCCCACCACACGTGGGGATTATGGGAACTACAAGATGAGATTTGGGTAGGACACAGCCAAACCATATCAGTTAGCAAAGAATTGCTATTTCACTGGGCACAGTGGTTCATGCCTGTAATTCCAGCACTTTGGGAGGCTGAGGAGGGAGGATCGCTTAGGTCTAGGAGTTCAAGATCAGGCTGGGCAACATAGGGAGACCCCCGTCTCTAAAAAAATTTTGAACATAACCAGGCATGGTAGCATGGCAACTGTAGTCCCAGCTACTCAGGAGGCTGAGGTGGAGAGGCCAGGAGACTGAGGCTGCAGTGAACAATAATCATGCCACTGTACTCCAGCCTGGGTGACAGAGCGAGATTCCGTCTCAATAATAATAATAATAATAATAATTTGCTATTTCAATAGTAAGTATTAAAATAATTTATTTTAGGGAAAAACATAGTTCCCAATACTGGTAGTGTCTAAACTTGAAAAGAATAACCTTATGGATGGATGTTTAATGATACTGATTATGATCTAAAATATATTGATGATGTAAGCATATATACATGCTTATTTTTGTTACATAAAGAGTAAACATTACCAGAGGAATCATATTTAAAATGCAAAACAATCACTAATCTAGATTTATACTGCCTGACGTTTTATTTCTATTTGCAAGTTTCAAAGTGCATATATACATTTTTGCATATATACATATACATGTATGTATACATGATCTGGCTTTTAGCAAACTAAAGAATTCCTTCCCCAGTTAATGTGTTTTAAGTAGGCGAAGAAATATTGAGTTATCCAGAGAAGGAACTTGAATGGCTGTGTGGCTAAATAATTTGGAATTTACTCTTAAATAAGAATGTTGTATTTCATATCTTTTGGATGCTAAATGTGTGCTTAAGCATGGATGATTAGGCCACTGAAAGCTGTTTTGTTAGTTAAATGTCTATCTTTGTTAGTAATATATCAAATTTTACCCATCCAATTGATGGTGATTATGTATGAACATACATATATAGTCTATGTAGATTATGACCTATAAAAATGCTGGGTCTTTAATAATATCATAAAAAGAGACTGGACAGTATCATTTATTTTCTAAGCATTCTAATTCAACAATAAAATTTGGTCTAATTGTTACCACTTTGTTATATTAAAATAAGTTAGATAAACATAGCCAGCAGATTTACATTCCAAATGCAAAAAAAAGTCACTATTCTAAGTTAATATCACATTACAGGTTGCTTCTACTAGCATGTTTCAAGGTAATGCATTCTTAAAATTTAAATAAATATGTTCATTTCGATACAATTCTCAGAATTAAAATTAAAATCTCAATATGTCAAACATTTTTACAAATAGTAAATCAGATTCTAATCAATTATACCAAAAGTGATCATGTCTTGTTATAGAAACCTGGATGATTTTCCAGATTGTGAGATTTCAAAAACATTATAATTTAAAATTAGGTGATGCCGTTCACATTTGTAGCTATTGTTAACATTGCACTCCTTCATTTAACAAATATTGCATGCCTAATATGAGCAAGAACTTTCCCAAGTCCCGGAGAAAGAACACCAAACAAGCCAGATCTCTTCCTGTCCCGTTGCAGCTTATAGAACTAATGGTTTGAGGCTCAAGGATCCACAAAGCATTCTTTTCTATGGCTACACATCAAAAAGCTAATATTTAGGAAGAATAAAAAGATCAAAAATTAATGTTTCTACAAATCTCTTTTGAAACAGTTCTACTTCAAAGTATCAATTCTGATTGAGGCTTATTCCTTAAAGGTAGTAATAAAACTGTAAGACACCTCCGGCTCTAAGTTCAAAACTTTTAGTTCAGACAAACTAGTAGAGTTGGTAGAAAGCAGAACATTGGCTAATTAATTTTTGAATTGGATATTTCTGGCGATGTGCTTTACATATGTGTCATTACTGACTTAAATGTTAAAAAGCTAATACACATATTTGGAAAAGGAATCTATAAACTCATATGCACACTCATATGTCAGTGTGTGTGTGTGAGAGAGAGAGAGAAAACAGAGATCGTTTTATTACTGTTAATATATTTGGCTTAAAATGTATAATCTGGCTTCTGAGAATAATTATTTCAAGTAAATAATATCACTATAATTTAAATTGTTGGTTTCTTTTTTTAAAAAAAGTGGAAAAGTAAAGCTTCTGTAAAAGCTATTGATATAAAATGATTTTAAGTCAACCAAGTAATTTCTGTTTTTCTTGAGGAAGAGAAAGGAATGAAACAGGAAAAAAAAAAAAAGGCTATTATACAGTAGAAAAATCTTATCTGCACTCAAGATGCTCCTTAGAAATAGAAAATAAACTCTGATTCAGACTTGTTTTCACCCGTTTTTCTCTTTGCCTCCGGTTGCAAAACCAAACTCTTACTACTTCTTTCTCCAGATTCAGTTCTTCAGCCATCCGCATGATCTCTTGAGAAGAAGGTTTATTCTGTTCTCCAAAGTGTCGCTCCAGAGCATCTTTAGCAGCGATGCTGGGGTGGGGTGGACATAAGGGGTGAAATTATGTTGTTTTTAGTGAAGTTTGTGGCAGATCAAAATTAAGGTTGAATTTCCTAAATATTAACATGAAAAGGAAACTAAAAACTCTGAACATACTTGCAAGACACTTTACAAGGAAAAATGTATAGTTTGTTAAATGTGTAGATGTTTGGTCTTATGCAAGGTAGAGTTGCACCAGAGTCACAGAAAGAATTAAGTAAGGGACCCAGGCTTTCTATGTGTATCCCACTTTGTGCCACCAGAGGGCACTGAGTTCATGAAAAGAAAATGAACATTTTCCTAGACATTTCTAAATAGCTCCCCAAAATCATTTAGGGCTGTTTTCAATAAAGAAAATCTCTAGTGAACAACTGACCAACCAAAACAAAACCTGTCTTTTAGTATTTCCTAAGCATGTCTCACAAAAACTACAAAAAGATCAATGAACAATCTTTCTGGGTTGAAATGCAAGAGGTCATGTTGAACTTTAAGAGACCGAAACACTGATTACTAGTGTCATATTTTTAAATACTACAGACACCGTGGATACTACATTGCCAGAGCAATAAGTTATATCTAAAAGGGCAGAAGATATGGCCACTCTCTTAGAAATGATTGTTTTCTTTCTGTTTGTATTCATAATTTCTGGAGCAAAAGTGTTCTTGAATCAAACAATACATAATTTTCCATCAAATGTTAAAAATTATTAGCTCTCCATTTCTCACAGTTATTACATTTTTTTTTATAACCCATCCTGTTTCTTCATTAGACTGTATTTACTTTTATTTTATTTTATTTTATTGTTTGAGACAGAGTCTCGCTCTGTTGCCCAGGCTGGAGTGCAGTGGTGCAATCTCGGATCACTGCAACCTCCGCCTCCCGGGTTCAAGCCATTCTCCTGCCTCAGCCTCCTGAGTAGCTGGGATTATAGGCACCTGCCACCATGACCGGCTAAATTTTATGTTTTTAGTAGAGACAGAGTTTCACCATGTTGGCCAGACTGGTCTCGGACTCCTGACCTCAGGCCCACCTTGGCCTCCCAATTCGCCTTACATTTCTATGTTATGTTACACCTGCATTACACTCAAATGCTCATTCCGTTTATAAAATATCAGTTTTGTCCTCAGTAACTTTTAATATAAAGAATACCTTATAGTTGTTCTTCGTTTTCTTTTCCTTTCATTTGCTCCCACTTTTTCATTGTACAAAGCTATAATGTGGAAAAGAGAGATAATTACAAATACAAAGTAGACTCTTTATAAAAAACTATCTGATTTGGATTTCAATTTGTTTTCATAAAACAATGCAAAATAAAAATGCCAGACATTTTTGTCTTAAATGTTTGCAGTCTAAGTCATTTTCTATTACAGACCTTAGTGAAAAATATCAACGCAGAAATAAATGTTAACCTCGCAAAGGCACTTTCTACAAATAATATCCTCACTTTACTTTTGTTGGAATGCTTGCTGTAACTACTCTCAAACCTCACTGTTTATCCAGCTCTGACATTTGTATGAGTAGATAATTGTATCTCATTAAGTTGCATATCTAGCAATTGCTTATATTATTTACTTGGAAGACTCGTGTGTGCAAATGTTTTGTGTACACTAATATTAGGATACAAATGTGATTCATATATAATTTCTCTAGTATAAAAGACAGGAAAAAAAATGGATGTGTAAAAAAATAAGCATTTTACCCCTTCATGCTAATGCCAACTTACCTTGTAAGCTTTCCTTATATAGGTTATTCTCTCCTCAATAAATTTATTTCCATACTTACATTGCCCTTCCTTTTTTGTTGTTGTTTTTAGTGTGATATAACAAAATATTTGTTTTTCATCTCAAAGAGAAAAGCAGGAAAAAAAAAATCCCTCAAACTTCCTGCTTTAGCATTAATCCTACTGATTGAAGCCATTATTTTTAGGTTAAAACATAGCACTGCCTTCAGAGACACAGTTTAGTACCTCCTACTTGCTCAGCTTCCTCCAGCCATTTGGATAATATTGCTTTCAGTTTGCATGCATTTTTAAAGCTGAGCTGCAGATTTTCAAATCGGCAGATTGTTGTTTGACTGAATTCAGAGCCATGCACAGCTGCCAGGGCCTCCCCAACATTTGTTTGGGTGTATCCTGTGAAGGGACAATAAAGACCATCAGCTCCAACTTTCCAAAAAATGTTAATTTTGGTTCATTGTCACACAAATCTTTGTATCTTTGTCAACTATTACATACTGTTTTTTAACTATATAGTCTTGGCAAATCAGAATTATTTAGTAAGATTCATTATACTTTCAAGTACTTGTCCAATACTTCAAAACATATTTCTTCTAGTTAATAAATTACTTTTATCTACTCACCGAAATAATTCAGATAGAAACATCTGCCATTCATAATATTTAGCCAGTGTTTAGGTGTATCCTAAACACTTTATAAGGCACTTGAAAATTACAGCTCTTTTTATCATTATTGTTAAATATCAAATAATATGTGCTCAAAAATCTTTAATATATTAACTATAATGCATAAAATATATGGTTATATATCATAAAATTTTTTATTTCAACTCTAAAAGATTCAATGATATTGTTGAAGGGTACTAAATAAAACTAAGAATTATCCTGCTTTCCCTAAAACCGTGTTTATTAAGAGGTTATGATTACGCATTTCACATATACCTCTGAGCCCGTTTTATAGTTTTTGGTATTGCCTCTATCTTCAGACTAATGATCCTTATTGTTTGCCCGAAACATTTTTAGAGTACAGCTGAAATAATCAACATATAATTTGAAACATTCACAGTAATATAAATAGCAAACTGAAAATGAATTTCACAAAGATTCCTACTACTGTGTTTATTACATGTAATAGCTACATATTATTTCAGGACCTAAGGCTATATACCTATATGTATAAAATGGTTGCATATGATGCCCATCAATAAATATTCTTATTAAATTACCTATGGTTCATTCTGCAAGTGCAGAGTTTTGAACTGTTATTTCAATCCATTAAAAAATATACACAACTTTATGCAATTTAACCAAAGTTAATTGTTATAGTTGTTTTATTTTAAAAACACTTCAATAGAAAATGAGCAAAGACTCTGAACAGACAGTTCACAGAAAAAGAAACTTAAATGATTGTCAAGCACATTAAATAATACACTTTACAATCATAATAAAATAAATTTTAAATGAAATAGCAGTGAAATGTCACTTTGACCTGTGTGATGTGCAAAGATCTAAAAGATTAACAGCATATTTTTTCCTTCAACCACCATTTATTTATTTTGTGTTCTAGTTACACTGTTCTAGATGCTGGAGATACCATTAAGCAGAAAATAAAAAGAAATAGATTTTAAAAACTCATGCCGTTTTGGAGTCTATATAGCCTGAGGATGTTGAAAAAGATTCTCATGGTGACAGTAAAATTTGATACAGCTTCTCTAGAGACCAGTTTGACAACATCTATCAAAATTACCAGTACACATACTTTTGATCAAGCAATTGTGCTTCTAACATTTTTCCTGCACATTTATTTATATGGGTGCAAAATAACATTTATAGGGTTAATCATCGTGGTCTTGTTTCTAACAGTCAAAGATCAGAAACCACCCGAATTTCATCAGGAGAGGACTGGTCAAATAAATTGCAGTATATTCATAAAGTGAAACTTGACAGCTCCACAAAGGAAAAAGAGCTCTAGAAAAATTACTACTGAAAACTTCAAATCATACTTATGTTGGGCACAATACATATATTTGCATATCTATCCATGAGCTATCACTGGAAAGATACACAAAGAACTAACAACAATGATAAACAGAAAAAACAAGCAGAAGGATATATGTCACTTATACTCTTTTGTACTTTTGAATCATATAAAAGTATGGCCTCACACATTTCACTACATATTAATATATCAATATGTATGGTTCAAATAAAATATAGATAAAAATGGGCACTTCGAAACTAAAGTTGAGGTGGGTAAGTTTTGAAAGAGTATTATTAATTTAAAAATTATGTATTTAGGCTCTTAAGAAATTATCAATAAACAAAGGTTTTTGGAGGATTTCCATAACAATTAACTACGTCCACAGTAGAGATGAAGAATGACAATCATCTTATACATTTGAGTAACATATAAGAGATTTAACAGCAATAAAGATTTGCAAACCAAGCTCTTTTTCCTATTGCCTTTAACAAGCACATACCTAACTTAATTCTTCTCACTTTAAATTCGTTGGCAAACTTTTCGAGTTCTCTGATTTCTGGAGAATCCATGTCTATTGGCTCTTCCACCAATTTACTTTTCCGCCTGAGTTCCTGCTTGAAATCAGCGGCTGTGGGGTCCTCTGCCAGGAGAGGCTGGTGTAGAGGAGGAAATCCATGACTCAAAGTGTGGTCAGGAAATTTATAAAGACAAGGGGTTAAACTACCTGTGAGTAAACAAAGAAATAAAATGAAAAAGTCCAATTGTAATTCTTCCTTATTTCTATATAAGAAAGGATTTTGCCTGATTTAGCCCATTATTCTGCTCTAGCCTGTCTCAGTACTTAAAAGGTTACCTTACATATAGTCTTCTGAAGAAGAAGTCAAAGTAGCTTAGTAGAATTGAGATTATTTATCTTCTACCTTCTCCAGAGCAGCAACACCAAAGATAGGGTTAAAGGAAAGAAGCAGGGGACTGCGAATAACTAAAATAGAAACAAACAGCTTCTCTCGGAAGTGTACATTTTCTATCATGTTTTTCTCTTAAATGACACCTATTCCTGGGAATCTGAGGTTGAACTCTAACCAGAATCTATGCATGGAACTCTGTTTTCTTAATTCATTGAACAAATGATGGGTGATGTTTGTTGTAATCATGGCACTAAATGCTTCAGCTAAGTGCTATGCTGAGAAGTTTTCTTGTGATTGGGAAATTGATTTCACAATATAAAAATGCCCCCCTATTTAATCAGTAAAAACTTGATTTTATTAGGAAAAATCACATCTTTTTTAATTAAATGAAGGCAGGCAGAAAAAGAATGATAAGAATATAAAATATATTAATATGGCTAAATAGGCTTGAGGAATGATTAAACATTAACAAAAGGTAACCTCGAAAGTTCTATTAAAAAGTCACTAACAAGATTTCTTGAAAAATATACAATAGAATAGAATAATTTCTTGATTATTATTTAAGGAAAAGCAAAAATAAGTAGCAAGAAAGTTTGCAACTTTATATATGATAAGTAATTACCCATAAATGATAAAGCATTGACTCTATTGAGTGGATACGTTAAATCACAAAAAATGTAAAAAGGTCTGAAATTATTATATAATTGCTTCCAGACTTCCTTCTTCATTGGAAGAGTCTATCTCAGTTGGGAAGTATAGGTGAGAGAGTCGTATATAAGCCAAATTCCAACACATTTTGTTTCTTGTTTTCTTTATCAATGCATTACAATTTTTATCGACAAAGATTTTACTTTAATTTATATTAAATGACATGTCTAGTGTGCCTTCTGTATCCATGGGTTCTGCATTCATGGATTGATGCAACAGTGGATTAAATACATTTAAAAAATAAAGTAAAAAATAACAACACAAGAATAAAAATGATACAAATAACCCAGTATAGTATAAGAATTATTTACATAGCATTTGCATTGATTTAGATATTATAAGTAATCTAGAGATGATTTAAAGTAGAGAATGTGCCTACATTATTTGCAAATACTACACCATTTTATACCAGGGACTTGAGCATCCAAAGATTTCAGTATCCTTGGGGGTCCTGGAACCAATGTGCCACATATATAGAAGGATGATTGTGTAAGCAAGACATTTTTATACAAAAATATTGAGTAATTAATCCTTTTCTTATAAGTATAAATATTTTTAAATAAATTACTATGGAATACATGCAATAATGATTCTTAGAAACTTACTGAAAAAATGCATCCAGAGTTCATGCCACCTATAATTACTCTACACATACATTCTCAAATCAAAGACATGAGTAATAGTGTATTTTCCAGAATCCATAAATCTTACATTAATATATCAATATGTAATGAGCAAAGAATACTGCAACTCAGCAAATTGTTGGTTTATATTATTTATATAAAAATATGTAATTATAAAGTGCACCCCATCTAAAAGGGCATATTATTTTTCTAAAACAAAGTAAACATATAAATGAGAGGTTAAACAAATCAGCATAAAATAAATTTGTCTGCTTTAAAGCTGGGAAAAAGATGTGAAAGAAACTATTTTTGTCTTTAAAAAATTCCTGCTACTTTTACAAACTAAAATTATCCAGGTTTACTTTTGTAAAAGTCAGTCAACTATCCAGTGTATGCTTCATTGAGTGGCATCTTGATCAGACCAGAGAACATTCTTAAAAACAATTTGACCAACTTTCCTTTTATTATATAGCTTTTCTTCAAAATGTTTATTGCTGTGGGGTTCATTTTTAGCTTTTTATTAATTTTAGTTTTCTGCTAAATTAAAAGAAGGACTAATAGATGTAAAAAGAAAACTGATGACATTTATGTTAGCATCTATTTAATCTGATATTTATCTGAAGAGTTGTTTTGTGCTTATACTTTCAGAATTGATTTGCACATATATTTATAAAACTTTCACTTCTTTTATTATTAAGGTCCATCAGGTATCACTTAATACATTTAATGATAAAATACCCTGAGAAAGAGTACAAAGAAAAGCCAGGCTACTGTTAGATTTTGTACATTTAACGTATTTTAAGACACTTTAGATGACTCATTTAACCTATGTCAAATTATGTTTATTTTATATAAACAATTTGTGTGTTTTTTACATATGCATACTATAAGGTCTGAATTTGTTATCAAATTTTATTATTATTGTCAATTTCTCTTGCTGATCATAATCATGTACTGCTACAAATCTTCTATGCAACACTTTGTGTTGCGTTAATTTCACATTTGTCATCATATTTGTCTTTATACAAAAAAAAAATGAGTCAGGAAAGATATATATTTTTCCCCATAATTTACAATGTAGAAAATTTAAGTTGAAAGAAATTAAACAACTTGCCTTCAGTGCCCAACGAATTAACTTTGCAGTTTAAACCAGAACTAAAGTCCAATAAGCATTGCAGCAAGCCACATCAAAATAATTGCCTGGTTCATTTTCCAGGCAGTTTATACTCACTAAATTAAATAACTTCCCTTTAAAAGGTTTTCTCTGCATTTAAACACCTTTGGCTATTTTTAAACAAATGCTTTTAGACAAAAAATATTACAATAATATGTATATAAAGTGTGTCATCCCTATTTCCATAAATTTATTTATTTATTTATTTATTTATTTATTTATTTATTTTTGCTTATTTATTCTTTATTTTTAGAGACGGGGTCTTACTCTGTCTCCTAGATTGGAGTGCAGTGGTAAAATCATAGCTCACTGCAGTCTCAAATTCCTGCCCCAAGCTGTCCTGCCACTTCAGCATCCTAAGTAGTATCTACAGGCATGCGCCACCATGCTCATCTAATTTTTTAAATTTTTTGCACAGATGGGATCTCACTGTGTTGCCCAGGCTGGTCTCAAACTCCTGGCTTCAAGCAATGCTCCCACCAAAGCTTCCTAAAGTGCTAGGATTATAGGTATAGGCCACAAAACCCAGCCACAAAAATTGAAAGGTAGTTTATACATTGTAAGTACTCTGGTGAAGTAGACACACAGAAGACAAATTTGAATGGAATCCATGAAAAGTACACAGAAAATACCATTCTCCAAGGTTTGGCATCCAGAACAAGAAGCAAAATGTGATGTGTGATACAATTTTTCTTTTTTTCCTTTTGCTTTTGGTTTCTTTTCTTTCTTTTTTTCTTTTTCTTTTTTTTTTTTTTTTGAGACAGCGTCTTGCTTTTGTTCCCCGGGCTGGAGTGCAGTGGTGCCATCTCAGCTCACTGCAACCTCTGCCTCCTAGCTTCAAGCAATTCTCCTGCCTCAGCCTCCTGAGTAGCTTGGACTACAGGCGCCTGCCACCACACCTGGCTAATTTTTGTATTTATTTATTTTTTTATGTATAATTTTATTTATAATTTTTTGTTTAGAGATAGGGTTTCACCATTTTGGCCAGGCTGGTCTCAAACCCCTAACCTCAGATGATCCACCTGCTTCGGCCTCCCAAAGTGCTGGGATTACAGTTATGAGCCACTGCACCCGGCCCACTTTTATTTTTCATTATATGAAAATATCTACAATTATCTGCAAGGTCACAGATTTCCTGGAACTAACTTCACACAGAATTTTATCATAACCATTTAAAAGAAGAGCCAAATGAACTTCTATTTCTAGCATCTGAGCCTGCATTTGGGGGAGTGTGGAGAGTGATTGGGATGAGTATGTTTCAAATCTTTTCAAAACCTAGATTACTGAAAAAGGTGTAAATAAGATGAAAGATGTGGTGAGTCATGTGCAACAGAGGTCTCATCAACATTTTCTGAAACATGGATAAAGAAAAATTATCTTGAGGCCTGGACAGCACACACACACATAGCTTGGAAGTGTTTGCACACTGTAGTTCCAAATACATTTTCACATTGAAGATTAATTCACCAGAGCCTTTCTAAATTGCTGTGTATGCATTTCTGTGTGGCAGAGGAGGGAGAAGAACAGAGGTAAATCTTTTTAAGCAGGCAATGGGGGTCAGAGATAGGACTTGCCTTACTAGGCGCTGACTCAATGTACCATAGCATGGGACAAATTGATCTTTGCAGCATGTGGTTAGCTTACAACATCATCTCAGGTTACTGGCTTGATGCCTTAAAAAAACAAACAGGGGAAGCAGAGGGACACAGTAACATACGCCACCCTGCTGTGCTTGTAACACGCACAGGAACATGTATCTGAATATTTGCATATATTCCCCTGTGCTCCTTAGGCATAAAAATTCAAAGGAAATTATATACTTCCACTGTGATCTTTTCACTAGTGTGCACTGGTAAATTCTATCCATGTACAACAGGGGCCCATTGGCTGTTTGGTTTAATTTGAAACGCCTATTTCTTTACATACAGCCTGTGGCTGCTTTCCTGCTACAATGACAGAGTTGAATAGTTGCAACAAAGACTAGAAAGGTTGAGAGAGTTACTGTCTGGTTTTTTACAGAAAAGGGTTGCCAACCCCTAGTCCGGAAGTGAAAATACATCATGTTACTGCTACCAAAAGACCTTTCATGATGCGGAAGCGAAAGATCTTCAGAATTACTTGTTTCCTTAGAGTTATTACAACCAGAACAATTTAGGGCCAAATAAAGCAAAGAACTAAGGAAAAGAAGTAAATTAAGAGAAAAAAAATTTCAAATTTCAAAAAATGAAAAGATGGGTTCCCAAATAGACTATACCCCCTGTCATTTGTCAGGCTGATTTCCATTTTCTTTTGCATTAGCCCATGCAGCGAGAATATTTTCAGCCATAACAATCTTTTCTTTTAATATCCATTTCTCATCAATAAGAATTGGATGCTCATCACCTTGTTTAAGTCCCAAACTCTTGGGACTTAAACCTTGTTTAAGAGTTTGGGACTTAAACGAGGTTTTCGTTTTGTTTTGTTTTCCCCTTGAAATTAATTTTTAAAGCAAGGACTTTCACACCACTTCTTGGTTTGACCACTACATCATGTAAAGAGGGTGGGTTTAACATTCATTACAGTGAGGTTGATTTGCTGTTTCCACAGGACAGCGGAAAGGGTGAACCCTCATTGAGCTTGTTTCCTGAATTGTACTCTGCTTCAGATACTGGAGAACAGAAACTATCTCTCAGAAACCCAAAAGTCAAGGTTTTGAGAACTTTTTTCTGATATTTTGTTTTGTTTTGTGTTTATCTAGGAGAGACTTTGAACAGCATTTGTAATTCTCGATTTTTTATTATTTGTACTGTAAGGTGTTGAATTTGAATTCTCTAAGTTCTCAGGAGTGAAAGGACAGAAGGAATGCAGCTGCAAGAGTATCTGAAGAGAAGGTCAAAAGAGAACTCATTTTGAGCTGACACAAATTTGCTACTACTCAATCCCAATAGAGTTGTAGTACCCACCACAACTTAGATATGAAGAGACTGAAACTCAGAGGTGCTAAGTCATTTGAACAATGTTAGTAATTAGTTAATGGTATGGATAACTCATTACTCTCAATTAGTCATTCTCTTTATTTTTCCTGCACCTGGACTATTAGGTACGGTGAATTCATCTGATCATTAAAATTCTACCTACCAACCTGACAAAATATTAGTTATAGCTCTTCTTTTCCTGTGAGTTATTAATTTAATGAAATGCTCAAACTAAATGTAAGCATCAGAGTATGGGTAATGACATAACCATATGAAAATAATTTCATATCTTTTAGAAATATAGTTCTTTCTGTAGTTTCACTTTTATATAGAGTATGTGACACCATGTCACTGTTGTTGTTTAGACACTTCTGTGGATTGTGTGGACGTGGCTGATTTGATTAATGCCTTAAGACTTCTCAGAAAATTCAAACGACATAATCAAGTTTCTATTGTGTACTTTATATATTTCTCTCTTATTTACCTTTTTTCTCTTATTTCTGAATTGCTGTATTTTGTAACTCAATTTATGCAGGTTTACTGTGGATAAAGGCAAGAGAGTTCAGATTCTCCTAGATCTAATCTCTCATGAGGCAAATGCTAATACTGAATGATGTCCCAGTATAGACATTCTGACATTTAAAGCATATCACATTTTAACAAAATTTTTGAGAGAGATTTAACAGTCCCTCTCAAAAATATTCAAATATCTTTTTGCTTGTGATGGTGAGTTTTTCTTTCACTCGTAAAATATATTTAATTTTAGACCGCAGTGATAGCTCCAGACCTTGGTGTAGGACTCGTGCTGTTGATGTCACTAAGCCAGGGTTTTGAATCATTTTGAAAGGCTCTTCCGGGGGCCTTTTCATTTGAATTGTAATGAGGAAGCGGTTCGTGGAAGAGGGTTTGCTGAGTTCCTGCTGGAGGAAACTTGTATCAGAAAGACGTGAGCTGCCAGCACTCTCCATGTGAACATTGGCATATTGGCTCCAGTCCTGGGAGCAGGAAGGGCGTTAGAATTCTGAGGCCAGCTGCAAACTCCCGAGGCCAGCGGTGGCCCTCTCTGATTTGGCGGGGTGGGAGGTGGTAGCAAAACTATCTGACGGTATTTGGCCAAGAGATTATTGGCTGCTGGTCTGTGACTGGTTTTAATCTCGGTGCCAACCTCAATCAACTGGCAGGGACTGCCTCTGTGCTGGGTTAAGAGAGAAACTGACGATGTACCTTGGTTCCTGGGATTTCCTGTAAATGAACTGTGAGGTCTTTCCTCCAGGAAATAACAGCATGTGTTTGTCATTTCCTGTCTCCTAATCCAAATGTTGTAAAGGCCACAGAAAGCATTCCACCCGCCCCTCTAGTAGCTAAACACATTTGTTTTACTATTTTATAATGAAAGTAGTTCATCATTGAGGAGGGCTCTTCTCATTAACTATGAATACTATTTAAGCATGTTGATCATAAATAATCTATTTCCAGAGAGGAAGAAAAAATATGGCTTTATTTCTTAATTATTAAAAAAAGATATCAGAATTTACAGGTCATCGTTAAGAACCCCGGTCTTCATTTAACCATAAATGTTAGGATACTGGTTTATTAAGGAGAAACTAATATTTTCCTGGATTATTATTTTAAAGTTTTAATGTTTTATTTAGTCTTAAGTAGACAAATTTTGAGACATCAAAGGTTAAACAATTTAATTAAAATTAAACTATTTGCTCCATTTTACTTGAAAAATTATAGGAATAAATCAATATTTGCCTGCTTGTTTTTTTTTTTTTTTTAACTGCTTATCTGGATGATAACAAAACACAAGTCAGTTAGAAAAGATTTCCCTAATAGATGATTCCTTTATCCAAAGTGTCTCCCTCATTATCACACACATACACATGCACACACACATTTTCTCACACAGCTTTAGTTTATCATCAATAAGAGTTCTTTTCAAAGAATTTCTTTAAAAATAAACCAACAAATGAAAATCCTGTGCATAATAAAACTGCACTTTTTAAAAATGATTAAAATCTTATGTAGCCATGCCATGAAATTAAGCAAGAATTTTTGATGAATAGATCTCATAAGCCAGATCTGCCTATTCCTCAAAAACTGTGCTTCAATGCCTTTCTAGAAGGATCAATAAACAGGTAGCTATACTTGATACAGTCATACTTTACTTATTTATAGGAGAAAAGTATGTAACTTCAATGATTTCAATCTAAGACTCATTCAGAAGCAATTCAGAAAGGGCTGCTAAAGCCTGAAACAGCTATCACTAAAGCCCCTGCCAATCACTCTGAGCTTCAATCAATGTCTTATTTATCTTTATGGACCAAATGTCCAGAAGGAATATAATGATGAGGGGAGGTGTTCTGTACACCTGTGCTGTCTGATATGGGAGTCACTAGCCACATGTGGTTATCGAGTGCTTGAAATATAGCAAGTGCAACTGAGAAACTGAATTTGAAATCTTATTTTATTTTACTTAGTTTACATTTAAGTTTAAATAGCCACATGAGGCTAGTAGCTACTACATTTTTAGTGAAGGTAAGCCTGCCAATAGCCTCAAGTTACAATTAACAGTTTGACAATAGTGAATTTGAATAAAAACTATATAAAGCAAACTCAAGAAGCACAGCAATTCAGGGACATGTGAGTAGGGAAATTAGGTATAACCCCTATAGTCCCTGCGGGTGTCACAGGAAACAAGAAGTGGTGATTTTTAACGGTAATTTTCAAAGTTAAGAAATTGAATTTCATGCCACACTCTGATCACAATTATTTCAGGCCCAGAAAATCCATCTAATTGTCCCCAAATACAATAACATGTAAAAGACAACTTTTCTTACCTGCCATCACTCCATAGGTTGATGGCTGGTTTCCATAATGACAGGAAGGAACAGAATAATGAAGTCCTGTTGCTGTGTTTCCCAACGTTGTCACCAAGAAATGCGTGCACAAACATTTAGGAGTTTGGATCAAAGACAAAATAGATGGGACTGGTAAGAAAATGTATAAGGATTCAAGACACATTCATTTTATTTCAAAAATACACATTTATGTGGTTCTTAAAGTTATATACCAATATTTTTTCTCATTTTGGGTAAATTCTGTGATGAATAGGTTAAAACTAGGGGGGATCAAAGTTTGTCTCATGTAATGAGATAATAAATCATCAAAATGAACTTCATTAATTATCCTGTACTCTGTGCTGTAGTGATGAGTGCCTCATGAAAGGGTGACTGAGCATTTTGGACCTTGGTTTTTTGGGAGTTGTAGAATTCTTGTAGGTTCTGTTCAATGCAAACATTGCAACTCGCCGACTAGAAGAATAGTCCTTTAAAATTATTGTGTTGCATGATATTATAAAGCAGTCTGTATGAATGAATACAGAAACTATCTCTTGAACAGTGTGTTTTTGCTTATTTGTCTGATGAATTTGCTTCATCCAGGTGGAAATGGCAGAGCAACTAACATTTTATTAGATACAATCATAAAAATCTCACCAATTCAGAGTGCTATTAAAAACCCGTAACAATATATGATCTATTTATTTTGATGTTGAAACCATGAGGTTGTAAGTTGTCTGCATATACACAATTGATACAACCATTCCAATGATAAAGCTGGTCAAAAAATAAGTTCATTCATTGGGTGACTTAACATCCATAAAGCCATAAAGCCATATATAAACGTAACTATTCATAAATGGTTGTATGCTTCAGGAAATCAATGTGTATTTTGAAAGTAAATTGGAATTATTAGACTTTTATTAAGTTTTAAACACAAATCATCAAGTTGAAAGGGAGTGCAAAATATTGACAATAAAACCACTGGTCAGTATTTCCTTATATATTTTATTTTCTCAATTTTTTCCTTCATATTTTGAATATATTGGTTAGTTTTCATAAACATAACTATCTTCTTTAATAAATGAGATGTTATAAAGTACAGTTAGAATCCTTTGAGAATACCAATATACAATCTAGTGATTAAAGACAGACTTCTCTTCATAAAGTAAAATATATTACTTTAAAATAGAGAAAAATGTTTAATTTTTAAAAATCTGTATGGATTTTTATTTTATAACTTATAAGTCAAAAGAACTAAAGTCATTTTGCAATATAATGATTACATATAAAAGTCTTACTGTGCATTCCAAAATTAAACAAATTATCATTAAGCACATTTAATACTCAAGTGTTCCCATTTAAGTCAGTGTTTCTATAATAGTTCCTTAGAAAATTAGATGTATATGATTAAAACTTCATTAAAATATTATAAATCAATGCTATTATTTAAAACATTTGTAGGTCACTTTTATTAATTATAATTATTTTTTAATTTTAAGGCTTAAATAATGTTTGCGTTTCAGATTTTAGGAAGTTAACTACAGGATAGGAGAATTTACTAAATAAATTGTTACTTATTTTTAAGTAAATAAATGGCATTTTGAGCATAAAATTAGATTTTACTAGATTATTACCTCAATTCTGATTTTTATTTTCATGCTGGCCAAATTATCTTCAAACACAGAAATAATGTATTATTCTCATTATCCTCAACCTACAGGATGACCTACTATTTAAAATATATGATTAGCTATGTGTTAATTGCTTAGATTTATTCATAGCATATATTTTTGATAAAAAATCTTTATTATTGTTTCCAAAAATTATGCTGGAGGATACTTCCTATATTACCCTTTACATTAAATTATAGAAATCTTTGGTGGATTTCTGTAATTTAATTTAAAAGGTAATATTGAAAAATTTCTACATTAAATGATTTTACCAAAGTCTAAATATCTGACCTCTAGATTCTTTAAAATCCAGAAGATTGGTGCCAAACTTACACATATATTTAGAAAGTGCTTAATAATAACAAAAGATAGAGCTTAAATCCTTCAAATCAGAATATAAATGTATCAACTCTAATTTTGATTTCTAAATGTATATAATTTCATTCCTAAATATGAGGCAGGTTGCATTTAAAACAAATGGAATGTAAATATTATATTGCTATTCAATGGAAGAAATGTACTCAATTCAAGTCTTTGTCCATTTGTAAATCAACTGTAATACACTTTTTTACTGCATAAAGAATGAACACATTGGCAAAACATACGTATTTGGCTGATTGTGTTGAGCCTTTGAATTCTTAAGTTTAATTTTTGTTTTAAAAAGTTATGTGACATAAATGTTAAAACATGGTTATAAGTGAAGTAAGTCTCTTCAGAACACAATCTTGAGAAAATTTACCTTAGTTAATGGGCTTTAAATGCCATGTTATTCGTGGCTATAATTTCTGTATCTTATGCTAAAAATATGTTAAATAAAACTCCATTATTTTATTCTATGAAATCCATTGTTGTTGATATTTGGATTTTTCTGTCATGTTTAATATAAGGTTTATAGCTGTTTTTAGATTGTAGTAAATGTAATTTAACAACCAAATAAATCTTTAAGATAAAGAAGTAGCACCTTTTAAACATTGCGTTATTTTATAATATTCATCTCATTTGCTCCTTATTCTATAAATATTTCCATTAAATGGCTTTTAGATTTAAAATGTCCAAGTTCACTCTTTCCTTATGTAGAAAACAGATTTTCTTCCTTATAACAAAGCCAACAATGATTTAAATGACTATACTTACTAATATTTCTTTAAAAAATCTTTGGCATGTTGACTTTTTAGATATGCTTAATACTTACTTCACTTAAGACAAATTAAATTGGAGGGGTAAAATGAAAGAAGCAAAAAGATCTTTAACTACCAAGATTCAAAGCATTCATTCTGAAATCTTTAGGCCCCGCCAGCTGTAAACTGTCATAGGACTCAGTACCTGTAGACATCACATTGGTGGCATGGTTGGAGACTGGTAGACACTCGGCAGCACTGTGATGCATTATCAGAGGCAGGGTTGCAGAGGCGTCAGAATTCAGGGGTATAAAGGTATCAGCCGAAGTAAAAGCTTGGCAACTCATTCCCACAAGAGAGTAGAAAAATAAGGAGAACCGCTGCTCCCCAAATCAGAGTTTTATTATATTACTGTCTCAAAGGGCCGATTCAATTCTCACTACCTGCATATATACATCAGGAAGGCTCTGAGGCACCAGGAGGGTGCGCGCTAGAATTTATATTGCAAGGAAATCCCTTTATACATGTTAATAGTCTTTTCCCAGGAGTATTGCTTTATCAATCCGAACCGTCTTCCTTTTTTACCCAAACATAATCCATGGCAGAAAAGGAAGCTGATTCTAGGGTATAGATGGAGGGGAAGGGAGAAATCTGAAACCTTATTTGACAACTTCAGTAGTTCAGACCTTTTAGAGAGGAATCAACAACTTTGAAAACGTGTCCCTCAAAAAAAAAAATGCCACTGTAAACTGAAAAATAGTAGGTGTCTTTTTGCTACTAACACGATTGCGAATGTATAAATATGAGATGTTTTTAAACAACTTCTCATTAAATCTGTGATATAACATGAAACAAAGTGCACACTATTATACATAACTTTAAGAAACTGAATGTTTAAGATTATATTGAGAGAAGCGTATAAGACTAAATATGAGAAAATATGTTGTCAATTACTGATTCATACTCAACAATGCACAGCTTTTACAATGAGATCACTTGGACTCGGGAAGGGGAACATCACACACCGGGGCCTATTATGGGGAAGGGGAGGGAGGAGGGATTGCACTGGGAGTTATACCTGATGTAAATGACGAGTTGATGGGTACTGACAAGTTGATGGGTGCAGCACACCAACATGGCACAAGTATACATATGTAACAAACCTGCACGTTGTGCACATGTACTCTAGAACTTAAAGTATAAAAACAAACAAACAAACAAAAAACGATGACAACCAATATATGTTTTACTATATCAGAATTGGAAAATGGAAAAAAATTGGATAAAATATAGTAATGATAGGTTGTTGCAAAAGTGATTACATTAATGGCAAGAACCGCAATCACTATTATACCAAAGTTAAATACAAATAAGATATGGGTAATTGTATCTTTACCTCGATTTCAATTTACTCATCAAGAACCCAATATTTAGTAAGCTGTAACTAGATGCTGACAGTATTCTAGGTATTTATACAGTTATGTCATGCAAATCTCACAACATCTATGTGAGTTATGTACCTTGCCATTCTCACTAAGCTAGACTCTGCCAGAGGCTGAGATCTTGGTGGTTCCTCCACAAAGCCTGAGATAACCATGGTAGTTGCTAACTAGATGCAAACTTCTCACACAAAATATATTGACTTTATATGAGAATAAAAAAAAAATACGCTACAGCCAACTATTTCAAAGATAAATATCAGCATCAAAATTTTACAAATTATGAGTATATAATGAGTAAATAAAGTACTATTTATGTATTGTATGTTAAGGTAATATAGCAAATAGAAGTAATTGAACAGGAATAGATATTATTGATGTGAGTCGACACTAATTTTGTACTATGGAATATTTTAAGATAATTTGGAATTGGCTGCTTTGTGTCAAATTTAACATTAATATTGATATGACATTTTCAAAAAATTGAACACTTTGTCAGTAAGTAGCTGGTATTTTGAAGGAAAATATATAAAAGCTTGCCCAAATCATTAGATATGGAATGAAAATATTTATTCTAAAAATGACATTTTTTTCATTCTGAATTCTATATCTTTGAAGCTCTATTAGTCTTTTCTAATGAGAGAAAGTTTCAAGTAATCAAAAGCATTATTGAACCCTTGCAGAAATCTGATCGTTTTCAGACTTCACATATACAAAAAAGTGATTCTCAGTATTCTATTTGGAGTTTCTGTTAAGAAAATTAAATAAAATATGTTTATTGGGTATCATGTATGTTAAAAATTAAATAATATTTATAGAAAATAGATTTTGAAAATGTCCCTTAATAATTTTACTATTGTTATATAGAGTCATTGGAATATGTTGTTTATGTATGTTGTTTATGTTTGTGAAAAATATACTTTATGAAGTATACTGAAGATACTTTATGAAGTAGCATAAAATCTGCCTAGCAAACAATATAAAAATTTCCCAGTTATTTACCATGATATCTAAAAATTTTTAAATTGCAATCTTAGAATTTCTTCCATAATGATTTTTAAAAATTAAACACCTGTTCTGTTAAAATGAGGTAAAGTCAGGAAATAAATGTTTCCATTACAGTCTTCTACTATATAATATGTCCATAGGATTACCTGGAATGTACCCCTTTGAGATAGATTCTTAAAAGTAGAAATACTAAGCTTAAGTCTTACAAACTTTTAACATCCTGAAAACATTACTAACTTGCATTTTTGAATAATTAATTATATTATGAATTTGATGTAAAATATCAGGAATAAGTCCAGCAAAAAAGAATTGCTTATTATCAGGAGACTCGGGAGTTCCTTGGCACTCACAGAAAACAAGGAAGTCAGGCCACAGAGAGAGACTGAATAGAAAATGAGGGCACACCTCTCTGACTCTCCTAATTGCTTTTTTTTTTTTTTTTGTCTCTCACTTTTTTCCTTCTCTATGGAATAGCTTATGCTGATTCTCCATCCACGATCACCTCGACAATCTCCAGATCACGCCTTAAACTTCAAGGAGACAAAGAGACTCTCTTGTAGCTTCTCAGTCGACATTTATGAAATTTTTTTTTTTTTTTTTTTTTTTTGAGAGTCTCACTCTGTCACCCAGGCTGGAGTGCAATGGCGTGATCTTGGCTCACCGCAACCTCTGCCTCCCGTGTTCAAGAGATTCTTCTGCCTCAGTCTCCCAAGTAGTTGGGATTACAGGCGCTTGCCACCACACCTGGCTAATTTTTGTATTTTTTGTGGAGATGGGGTTTCACCATGTTGGCCAGACTGGTCTTGAACTCCTGACCTCAAATGATCCACCCACCTCGGCCTCCCAAAGTACTGGGATTACAGATGTGAGCCACTGTGCTGGGCTGAGAGAAATACTCTTATTGGCTATAACTTTTTGGTAAGTTCCAGAAGTATAAAGGTGGTTCCCAGTGGTCCACACTTATGAATGGGGAGGATTGTCCTGGATACATTCAGATGTTTGTAGACAAGGAGGGATAGAGCATTGTCTTGGAAGACACCCTTAAAATATGACTGATGCTCTTATACCATCTTATACTAGCATTAGTGGTGCAAAATTCACAATTGTCTGGCATTCTCATTGTTAGTAATAAAGTGTAAATACATATGCCTTATTAATCTGATACGATAATATTTTAATCTGAATTTTTAATTGCTAATATGCTCTGTTTTCATATTTATATTTGCTACCTGTATTTATCATTTCGTTAATTAACAGATTCTATATTTTTTCCTTTTATTTAAAGGCCATTCAGTTTTATTATCCATTTGTGTCTTTTACAAATACACCAAAAATTTTAATTTTCATTGTTTTGATCATTGTATGATTAAAATTTTCTTAATGTCTCATCTTCTAAATTTATGCTGGACCTTGGTATACATAGTATTTTATGTAAGAGCTAAACATTTAGTTCATTTTTTGCATGCATTTTTAATGATTTCAGACTTTAAAATTCTACCTTATCCAAAGGCTTTTTATTTATTTTTACTTTTGTTTTGTTATTTTGGCACCTTAAGAAATTTTCTATTGACATTTTAAGCTGCCATATTCAGTATGTTTCTAGAGCTCATTTATAATCACTTACATAATAACGCAAATTGTAGCTCAATTTGAAAACTACCAGATAAATAAGAAGAAAATTCTGCTTCAATCTAAGTTGATAAAAGAAAATATACAGAAGAGAAGTCTTCACCAGGTGTTTTTAGCCTAATTCATTCACTGTATTTCCTCTTAAATTAAGCAAAGGATTGATTTTTTTAAATACTCTGAGTTTCCAAAAAAAATCACATTTTGAGAAAAATATATATAACCCCAGAAAAAATCCTATGTCTTTCTAATATAAAGGCACACGCACACTTACGTGTATTACGTGTATTGCTATTCACAATAGCAAATACTTGGAACCAACCCACATGTCCATCAATGATAGACTGGATGAAGAACATGTGGCACATATACACCAGGGAATACTATGCAGCCATAAAAATGAATGAGTTCATGTCCTTTGTAGGGACACGGATGAAACCAGAAACCATCATTCTCAGCAAACTAACAAACAGAAATCCAAACACCGCATGCTGTCACTCATAAGTGGGAGGTGAACAATGAGAACACGTGGACACCGGGAGGGAAACCTCATATACTGAGGTCTGTCAGGGGGTGGGGGCTAGGGGAGGGATAGCATTAGGAGAAATACCTAATGTAGATGACGGGTTGATGGGTGCAGCAAACCACCATGGCACGTGTATATCTATGTAACAAACCTGCACATTCTGCACATGTATCCCAGAACTTAAAGTATAATTAAAAAAAAAAAAAAAAAAGGCTGGGCGCAGTGGCTCACGCCTGTAATCCCAGCAGTTTGGGAGACTGAGGCGGGCGGATCACCTGAGGTCACGAGTTCCAGACCAGTCTGGTCAACATGGCAAAACCCCATCTCAACTAAAAATACAAAAATTAGCCAGGTGTGGTGGTGGGCGCCTGTAATCCCAGCTACTTGGGAGGCTGAGACAGGGAGAATCGCTTGAACTCGGGAGGTGGAGGTTACAGTGAGCCAAGGTCGCGCCAGCCTTGGTGACAGAGCAAGACTCTGATAAAGTCTCTGATAAAGTCTGATGAAGTCTCAAAAAAAAAAAAAAAAAGAAAAGAAAAGAAAAGAAAAGAAAAGAAAAAATAAAAATATATAACCTCAGAAAAAAATTATCTTCAAATCTAATTATCTCTGGGTTATATATAAAATTAAAACCTCTTTTCCTCTTTTTATTTTTCATATTTATGTTTTCTAATTTTTCTACTTTTTTTGAGTTCAGAAGCAGTATATATATTCAACATGGAGAGAGATTCTGTAATTAAACTGTCTGGCTATAAATCCAAGCTTTATATCTTAGTAGCTACATATTGATGGACAAGTAATTTTACCTTTTTGTGTTTTGGGGTTATTTTATCTGTAACACGGAGATAATAGTAATATTCAACCCACTTACAA